TAACCTTCATTAATAAATTCATTTTTTGTGGTTTTCCTGATCAAACTAGAGGTTACCAAAGAATCATGCATAACATTGAATAGGGAGTTGTCGAATACACTAGCTATGCTTAACATGTGAAATGGGTGCATAAAGATGTGTTCAGCCTGGAATACAACCATGAAATTGAAAGTAACAGAGATTCTTAGGAGCATACCATCAGAAAAAACTTCCTTGATCGATTGGATAGATTAAGAAAACAGTGGTAGCAGCTGCAACAGGAGTTGAATATGCAACAGCGATCCAATAGCGCATACCTAGACCACGACCCATATAACAAGCTACACCAAGTAAGAAGTGTAAAACAATTAACTCATAAAGACCGCCATTGCATAACCATTCGTCAACGGATGTCGATTCTAAGATCGGGTAAAAATGCAAACCAATAGCTGCAGAAGTCAGAATAATGGCACCAAAAATAATGTGTTTCCGTAAAGTAGAGATCTAAAAACAGGTTCACGAATACCATCAATAAGATTAAATTGTCTTAAAATATTTTTTAAAACATTAAGCTTTTAAAAAATCATAAAATAAATATTTTTATCACATTGTTATTGAATGATGCGACATATTAAAATTAATAAATAATAATTCATTTGATCTTCAATTATAATTAAAATTTTACTTTGATAATTTTTTAGTAGTTCTAAATAATAATTTAAAAAAAATAAGAAACTGAAAATTCATAAAAAAATATATAAAAATTCATGAGTAATATTGTATCAATAGTCGTCGGGGCATTAAAACATGTAGAACGACGGATTGGCAACACTAAGGCCCTCGTCTATGAACAACGGATTACCAATTTTATCATGTTTTAACATTTAAATTATTATTTTTATCTTATTTTATTTAAATAATCGGATTTCAAATAAATTATCAAGCCTTGAATAAAATAAAATAAAAACAGAGGTGAAGTGAAACCGGGGGATGGAAATTTCCTAAATTTAGTCGGACATCATTCAGGGAGGGCTTTTAAGATACTTATCACCGGTTACTGGTACAGGAAGCCGACTGGTTTGGGTTTCTTTCTCTTTCATTTCAATTTTAGAGCGTTGAAATTCATATTGTCGGTACCGCATTTCTTTCGCGAAAGATTATACTAATCTGTTCTTGCTTTATCGTCATTCTTTCCTTCACGTTTTATACTTGATAAATCTCGATACCTTACATTTTTAATTAGTTTTTATATATCTTTTTCACTATATTTCTTCATTTAATTGTGGATTTAGGTATAAATAAAACTCTGCTTGAATTAAATAAAAATATAAAAACCTATATATGTACACACACAAGATTACACTTGCCTAAGACCCGGTATTTTGCAGTGCCAGTGCATTTATATGATGCTGTCATTATAAGCAGATTAGTGTAATTTTCTTTTTGGAAAGTGAAGAAATGAATTTCATTGAAGTAAATAAATTTTGACAGGCAAAGATGGTAGCAATATGAAGTTGATGAATTACAACTTGCTAATGGTTTCTTGACTAGTACACAAAGCTGAGAAGAGGAAGTTGAGGTGAAGTGGGAATGAGTGGTTTATTTAAAGAATCAAAAAGTGATTTACTCTGTTTGAAACAACTCCTTAATACACAAAGTCCTGTTTTGTTTTAGACATGGGAATCCTTGTTTGAATTCTTGACCTCATGGCCTTCTTTCTCCAGAGCCAGGAATTGTGTTGCATCCTTTTCTTTCATCTGAAAACACAACCATCAACACGTTCAGAATGTTATTTTTCCTTTTTTGGAGGGTACATGGAGCGGTATATCCCATACACATGTCCGGCGATTCATCGGAAAGGGACGTCCGAGATGAGTACTTAAGGAAAAAGGAAAAGTCCGAGCAATATAGATATACCTGTGATCCCAACGAATCAGCATGTTTCCATTTGTTCTCCTGGGTGCAAAAATAAGAGTACAAGCCCATCCCAAAGATGGCAATCAAGATTCCAATGATGTTCCTATCTGTGAAAGGGTCATGCAGCAATGTATAGCCAAAGGCAAGAACCAGGCAAGTCTTGAGGTGGCCAAGAACTTGATAGGTGACGGGGGATGTTTTGCCGATAACAAAAAATGTACTGAAATTGACAGATACTGAAATAATACACGAGAGGATGATAAATGCCTGTAAAATGTACAGAATAGCCAATTCTCATGTGAGTGACAAGCTGATGAGAGAAGAAAGAAAAAAATGAGGTTTGGTTCAATACCAAGACTATAGGAGAATATTTATAAGCAAACACATTTTGCTTGGTGAGTAATTGGTCCACCAACGGGCCGGAGACAAAAAGAATTGCTGCTTGGAATGGGGCTGACTGGTACAGCAGCTGTGTTGAAGAGACATTTAGCCTCTTCTGTATTGTATTTGTCAGCTATATTCATCAAGTTAAGAACAAACTTTGGAATATGGCTCTGAAATGTAATGTTTGATAGAAATCAAAGGATACAATTTGGCTGACGCAGGTTGTCGCAATGGCGAGGAGGGAAAGGATTGTCCCGACAAGATTGAGTTGCAGATCAGTTATGGAAGCAATGCCAACTCCGACAAGTAAAAGGAAGAGGGACAGCTTTATGTTTTGGCTGCACATAATAGAGCACCAATTCACTGATAAGCTTTGAATATAAAAAATGCTCAACAATCATAAGTGTAAAAAAGAGAATGGAGAAAAAAACCTGAATTGCTTTTTAAGGAAGATGGTTTCCAATAATACAGTGAATGGTATGATTGCAAGTTTTGTCATCTGCCAAGAGAAGCACCACAAAGAATGAGCACACAATCTTCAATAATGGGCAAAATACATGGAGTTAACCTGATAGAATCCTATGGAGTTAAACCCAAGGCTCAAGTTGAGAAGTCCAATGGAAACACCATTGAGGATGCCAAAGAGCATCACGGTCTTCATGTCGATGGGTTTATTTTCAAAAAGATTGAAGCGTTGGGCCATGTGAAGGGTGCAAAATGTCACCATGAGATGCCAGCTAGTGAGTGTTGTGGCTGGAGGAGGAATGGGGTTAAAGAATAATTCAACTCGGTAATTGTGGTAAATAACTGAATGATGTTTAAGAATAGACAAATTACCAAAGGGGAATCCAAGATTGCTCATCAAGGCTTTGTTGCATATGACAATGGAGACCGATGATGCAACTGAAAGGAACAGTGCACCAATAACACCCAGTTGGAAGCTTGACATCTCTCCCATCTCTGGTAAAACAAACAAACTAAAAACAATAACCAATAGATACAATTTAATGGGTACTAATCATTATGAAATGTAAAGCCAATTTGAAAACTGAATAATGAATGGTGGTCAAACTGCAGATTGTTGTATTCGAAAAGAAAGGGTTTGGAATTTACTTATTAGAAAAATGTTTAAACTTTTCATTGATGAAAGCTTTCCCTGCTTGCATGCTTAAGAGAAGGAAAATGCAGTAACTAAAGAAAAGATTGCTTTGAATAGAAAAACCAATTATGTATGAAGCAAAGAGAAAGCAAATGTTACCTTGCAAAGAAGTGGAAAACTATAGAGTTTTAGGAGCCTCTGAAAAGGATTCAAAGAAAGAAAGCAAAACTTTCTTTCATCAAACACATTCCCACATTTACAAAAGAAGAAAAAGTTGATGAGAATGAACAAAGAGAGAGACTTTTGAATGAGTACAAGTTTGCAAGATTATTCGCAGACGGAACCAACTACAACTCAATAAAAGAATCACCAGAAAAGCACTCCGAATTAGAACAATCAACGGTGAGAGGGGCTTGCAAATAAGCTGAGAGATGGGGGGTTGGTTTCGGCTTGTATGAGAATGTAGGTTTTTAAGCAGGCTATTTATTTTATGTAGATTGCGAAGCTTGGTTGGTGCCTAACGCTGTTTTTGAAAGTACTGCCTGTTTTGTTTATTTGTTCTTCCAGAAGGGAAGCAAACGGTCAGTTTAAGAAAGGGTGGATATTTGGTGATTTTGGTCAAAGTGAATGATGTTTTAAGCTTTTCAGATTTTGTGTGGCAGTCCAATGGGGTCTTCCAAGCCATGTAATATTGTTGTGCCTTAGCACACAAGGCAGGAAGGTAATATGTAAGTGAGGTAACTTCCTGCTAATGCAAGCAAACCGGCTTGCCATCCTCAAACTCAATTGGAGTTTGGTGAGAGAGACACAAAAACAAAAACCCTTCATTTTCACTTCTCAGTGAGGCCCTGGCCTTGGCTTCCTTCACCAATCTACATCACCCTTACCAACCAAGCTAATCAGGAAAAACCATTTTCATATTTTTCAATTCCCCGTTTTCCAAATAAAGAAATTATGTAAATAAGAGATGATATACGTTATTTTATCATTTACAATGAGACGATTTAATTGTTATTTTACCGTTTCATCTCTTTCAAAAATTTATATTCATTGTTGGGATACTATGATATGACTAAACTTCATTCGAAGATACTCATTTGTTAGCGGATTTTATATTACTTTTTTTTAATAGTTTGATCAACTTGATACTACGTTTTTCTAGCTGTATTTGTGTGAAATAATTAAAAGAGAGAATATGATGGATAGTAGAGTTGAGGGGGCAATGCTTTTGCTATGCAAATTACGAGTAGTTTGTTCAGTTTCAACCTCAGATCCAGGGGAAACTGGTTTACAGGCGTCACATGAAATGAAAGGGAGTTGCTAAATGAGTTAGGTTCAAACATCCATGCAGCGGTGGATTTCTATATAGTAAACGTTATTACATGGCAAAGCATTGTCCTTTAATGGTTGGCATCTATATCAGATATCATCATATCTATATATAAGAATATATCGTCATGACAGATGGAAGTAGAAAAAGGAGCAACTCACGAGGAAGATAGATATAAAAGAATAGAGTCCCCTTTTATATCTGTAGGCAGAAAAAAAATATCACTCAAACTGAATCCTAACAAACATCAGATGACGTAATATACAGGTACAAATTGGGGTGAAAGGACCTGGAGAAAAAGAAATCAATAAAAATAAATAATTAGTCGTCCTTTCCAAACTGAGCAAGGTATTTCTTGTCTGCAGTTGCGAGTCGTTTCTGAAACATCGCCCATTCGTTTTTGCACCTTGCTCTAACCTGTGAATAGAAAAGGAGGAAACGAGTTGGTTTTGAGATTTCATCCTTCTTTTACAAAAGAGAAGTTTAATATCTTAAGAATAACTTTCAAAATGTACATAAAATGATGTCAAAATTCATATTATGCATTACCCCTTCCGAAGGAGCTTTCCCATCCTCCAATTTTCCCTGAAATTCGACACACATAGATTAAATGCAATATTCATATAATTAATAATTCATATAATCATTTGGTATTGAAACCAAAATTATCAGGTAAGCTGATGAAAACTCACCTGGTTCCCAAGAGAAGGGATTACTTGATGAATAATCCACTGTGAATCTACCACACCGATTTTTTCATGTGCAGGCTGTGAAGAAGAAAATGGCAATTTAGTGCAAGAGAAAATAAGAGGCAGGCTGAGATAAACATGAAGCTCTCTAAGAGAAGCCAGCTAGGCATGTTATTAGATAGTTGAAACAATTACAATCTCATTAGAAAATTTAACAACTTATAACGATTTTTACAAACTAGCCAATTTGAACATTCTACATTAGTTGTCATAAGAATGCCTTCATAAACTCAAGTGCTGCTGATTTTCAAAGGAAGAGTTTCCAAAAAGAGCTGGGTTCTTATATTGTTCACTTAGAGCAGTGAATAACAAAATAATGGTAAAAAAAAGACGGAGAAACCACTAACCTCGACACATCTTCTGAGAGCAAAATCCAGTCCCCATCCATGCACCAAATCATTCTACAAGAACAAGATTCATTAAGCATTTTGTTAGCATCAACAGGAAAGAGCTCAAGAAATTGCACCAAGTTATTAAGCATCCATGCACCAAACCGTTCTACAAGAACCTAGTTTTTGGTAGTATCATAAGGAAGGAGCTCAGGTAATTGTACCAAGTTAATAAGTAAATTGTTAGTAAACAGAATTCTAAGATCCTAATCTGTGTCTCATTCTTAATCCTGTCATTGGAGAAGTTGAGGACTTAGGGAACTCATCCCAAAAGTGGTGGTAACTGAGCCAGTTCAAATCTGATTTAAGTTCATTTATTTACTTGGACGTGGACACAATCTGGCTAAAGTCCATGGAATTCTTATCTACTTTACCTGAATCATATGCCACACACATCTCCATGCCTCCCGAGAAAATACAGGTGCCATAATTTCCACAAAACTGAAAGAAAGTAAAAAATGCTGAATGCACAAATAGAAAAAGAGGACACCCAGTTGAAGGAAAATCAACAGTGGCATGCATTAGAAATACTGCTCATTCACAAGTGTGACCAGTTTTGCTGATTATTTGCAAGATACATTGTGTGCGTGTGTGTGTGTGTGTGTCTGTGAGAAATAGAGAGAGTGAGAGAGAGAGAGCATACGCAGCACATGGGGGCAAATGTGGATCACTACACCAGCCTGGTTTCTCCTCTGTAACCCTGTGAACCAAGTTCAAATGCAGAATCTCAGATGACACCCAAAAGAAAATTCCTTGTGACTGCTAAAGTAACTGCAACTATATGGCTGAGTGATAGAGAGAGCCTACATGTGAACTTCCTGGTCACCTCTCCTCTTTGTCATCTGCCATGTCAATCCATTATTGGGCTCCAAACCAGGTTGTGAGATCTCCAGACCATGCTTCTTGACCAGTTGTACGTATCTGGTAATTTGTGTAGAGAAAGTAAGAAAGAAACAAGTACATGTTGAAACAAAGTGAAAAATCTAACTGGCTTTAGGACAAACCTCTCCGAATTGAAGTGTTCCGCTCCCAGGTCTTCATCCCAGATGAAAATATATTCATAAGCTGAAACAACATCTGGATGCAAAAACCTTTTCGCATACCACCTAATAAAATATATACATTAGCAAGAATATTAGAACTAGCAGCAAATTACCATCCACCTAACAAGGAAGCAACTAGAATTCAAGGAAGCAAGGAATAGGCAAAGGGTTACACACACTTGAAATTTCCCTCCAACTAATACGACCCAGAAACATAAACCATTCTGCCCGCTAAAAAGCTTACCATTTTGTTTGCTTCTTTACACTAACATGGATTGCATTCTTTGACCACTCAAATTGGTCCCATTCAGTCGTCCGCCCATCATAATGAAAAAGCAAGATCTGGAAATCCTCAGAAAACTACCACATGGAAGAATGCATAAACATCAAAAACCCTGGAAAGAAAAAATTAGAAAGAAAAATGGAATGTCCCATTGTCTGACCTTTTTAACACATTTATCTATATTATTCCTCTGATCAATACCAACTGTAAATGTCACTAAATACTTTGGTTTCTTCTTCAGATCCTGCAGAGTCGAGGAAAACCACGATAAGAGACACCTATTAATCAAGAATATTAACACACATGGATGTATCATTTAGCACCCAGAAAGATGCATGTACCAAAACTGGAATGACAGTGATTTATGGGCAAAATAGTCCTCTTGCATCAGAACTTACTGGAATTTGGAAAGAACACGATAAACTGGCATGTAATGTTCCTAGTCGGTAAAGATATCAAAAGAAAAAGAAAATTCCAGCCAGTTCCATTTACTTAGATGGTATCACTTAAGCACCAGGATTATGATCTTTCTACATAAATATCACTTGTGGATCATACCTCACTAGGTTCACCCCATAGTCTGCGCAGGTAAAGGTCAGTTTCTGGAACAACAATTCCAGGAGGTAACATTTCTGCACCATGAGGATTTGTAGGAACATATATCTGCAAAACGCAGAAGCAGAAAACAATTAACAAAATGCATCAAAAACAAGCATTGTGCGGTATTTGTGAACAAAGAGCTCAGCTTCACACAAGAACCCAAACAACAAGTATATTAGACTCAAGCTGATCTGAGACAAAATATATTGATTCAAAAACAATGGTGGACAAAAGTTTCTCTGATAATTTGAAAAAATATATCATTTGTGTCAATAAAGTGTCTTCTCCTTCCAAATAACAAAAGATTAAAAGAGCAAAGGGAACAGAGGGTAATCAAACAGGCACCTTAGGTAGATTATCTGTGGTTCTCTCAGGAGGCCTGACTATAAAGTCTTGGTCATTAGATATGGATCCATCAAAAGCTGATCTAAGGCTTGAAGGTGAGCGAATCTGCAGGGAGTGAAAACAAATCATATGGATGATAGATTGACTGCAGAATAGCTTAATCACTAATGAAGGCAAACATACCTTGTAAAGGGAAATTGATGGAAATGAAACACCAATAAAAAATCCTAACACAATTCCAAGAATTGTTGCGATAACAAGCCTGGCTCTACCATTTGTTTTCTTAAAAACTCCACTGGCAAGACAATTAGTTTAGTAAAAGGAGCCCCAAAAATTGTTCATCATAAGCAATAAGCCAGAAAAATGTAGCAATTCAGGAATCAAGACACACAAGAATGACGGAAGGTTCAAAACAAATTATTTACACAAAAAAAAAAATCAAATCCAAGAATGGTTGGAAAAGATTATGCTTTTCACTCTAGTTGATCTATTTGTTTTATCTTTGAAGTGTCTAATAGTGAAAGGTAGATAACAATTAATAAATCCTAACCTGCGGTGCATGATGCCCATGTCTGTATGCTCTCTCGTGCTTGATTTAATTATTTAAAAGCTTAGATGCCCACAAGGACAATTATCTCCCATAAGAACCTTCAGGAGAAAAACAGGGAATCTTCAAAAACACCAACACAGAGCTTCACTAGGTTTCAACTGAGCTTGATCTTTGATCAGTGCGATGTTCCGTGCTTCAGTATATATTACAAAAAACAGTTAAGCTACAAAACAAAAGATATTTAACACTTTATTTTTCAAAAGGCTGTCGCAGATTAAACTAATATAACAAATTTGCAATATTTTAGAAGGGTAGAAAATAAATCTAGAACACAAATTAAAAGTTTCATATATTTTGTAAAACAATGCCAATTAATATCAAATCCAAAAAATTAACACACTAGTCAATCAAGTGGCCATATTAGTTGTTGCTTTACCTGAAGCAACGATTAACATTTCAAAGGTTTAAAACCCAAGAAATAGTTCAACATGTTTGAGTATACTGTTACACTACAATGCTGTAAAATCTTGAACTAAAAACGTATGCAAAACTTTCTTAAATACAAGCTATCATAAATTCCTCTATTTATGCTGTTTTAACTCTCCAGAGTAACTCCATTATGCTTTACCACTTTAGGGTTCAAGCCATTTTCCCTAAAACCCAAACCGCAAATGACTTTAATTTAAAGTAATAAAACAAACGCCAAATTACAAGGTAAACATGAATACTCAATTAATCAAAAATTAAAATCTGCAACTAAAAAGATGACATCATAACTATCATCTGAGAAAAAAAGTTTAGCCTTTTCATTCAATTTCTGATCTGCATATTGAAAAAGAAACTTTCCCGGTCACATTCAACAAAACTCAGATGCTTGAACAAAGAGAAGGGATTCAATTGAAAGGTAAAAACACATTTTTATAAATAAATGGCAATATTAGATTCCAAGATCAAAGCAGGGAAGAAGGGAAAAAAGTGCATGTATAACATTTTTCACTTCAAGTAATTATTTTAATGAAATGACAAACAGCCCACAAAGAAAATTCAAAATTCGAGAAGAAAAGCCTAGGGTTAGAATCATACCTTGTTCCTTTTTCTATTGAGGATCAGTTGATCCTGATCTTATACCACAACCGATAACAGAGAGAGCAGAAGCGTGGTTTTTCTAATAAAATCCTACGTTTGAATACCAAGAGAGATGGCAGAAAGAAAAACAGTAGACAGATTTTACCATTTGACCGGGTATTTGTTGTCTTTGTGGTGGACTTACCTTGATCCCAATTAATTAATTAATTAATTGTAGTAAAAGAGCTAAGTAGCTCTAATATTATTACTAGTTATTTTTTATTAAAAATTACGGCTATAAGTTGTACTTTAAAACGGAGGCGGTACAAGATATTTTTTTAGCTATATTAAAATTATATTCATGTTTAGTTTTTGTTTTATTTTAGTATATTGTTAAATAATTAACATCAAGTTTTGAAATAAATTAAAAGTTTATGCATTAAAACGAATCAAAACTAATATTTTAGGTATTAAACGAGTTAAATTGTTAACAGAGGGTACTAAATGAAACAAAAACTAAATATTATGTATGTTTATGAAAAAATTGAAAGTTTAAGTACTAAAACGGACCAAAATTGATAATTTAAGTACTAAATGTTTAATTTACCCTAACATATGTTAAAGATTATTAAATTATATTTTAATATATATTTTAATTATTAAATTCTTAAAATTGATAGAATAATTTTTAAATTTATTAAATCAATACAAATATATTATTAAATTTATTGAATTTTATAATTTAATGTAATATTATAATAATTTAATAAATTTAACAATTATTGTATAGTTTTTAAAAAGTTAATAAATAAAATTTACAACTTGACCGAGGTATTTGTTACTTTACGGTGGGCTTATCCTTGATACTAAATTAATTAACTACAGTAAAAGAGCTAAGGAGTCTATTATTGTTACTAACTTACTATTTACTTTTCCACGGCCATAATTTGTACTTAAAAGGGAGATGAGGTAAAGAGGTATTTTTTTTATTTAAGATAAAATATATTTATTTAATTAGAATTTGTTATGCAGTTGGCTGGAAATATGTGATTTTAGTAGTTAAAAAGAAATAATTTTTATCTTTATAGATTTTTGATTCGAGTATATTATATGTCAAATATGTTTGAACATTCATGATTAAATGGATTGATAATCTTTCAAGCATATATTGCTTTATAATCACTTTTAGATTAATAAAAAAAATCATTAAGCAATCTAAATAGTAAGAGAGAATGTTATTCTTCCTAAAACTTTCGAGTTTGAGTAGTTGTATCTGCATTGTGTGTGCGATTCATTATTATTAATTGGCTTAAAAAATTTTGGGCTTCCTCGCCCATGTAGGGCGTTGGAAAAAAAATCCCCGTATAGGGCTTTAACCAAATTATTTCTTGAACTGGGGTATTTGCTAAAGTGACCTCATTGGTCGCCAAGTGCTCCTTGTGACAAAGTCTCCTCTGTTGCAATAATTCTTCTCTCTTCCCTCGGTATTACAGCTCTTCTCTCGCATGTATGGCTAGGTAGGTCTTCGTGTGCTCCTGGAGACCTATGGAGGTCACTGTAACAATCACCATACTTAAGTAAATAATTGTTCGACTGCACTATGTGAATAATTTTTTTCCCATTGCATTATTCAACCACTTTTGCCAAAATTTTGAATAAACAATGTATTGTAATTAATAAATAGTTAAGTGACTAAAATAGACCTAAAATGATAAATGGATGATTAAATACATAGTTTATATTAAAAATAAGGGTAAACTACTTAGTTGACTACTTAACTATTTAGCCCTTTTACTTTTGCCATCGATCTTTCAATTTTGTCAATCACACCACACAACTATTTAATTGTTTCAATCAAGCCACTAACCGTTAACGTTGACGGAAATGATGATGTGGCAGTTAAAAGACACTACTCAGTTGACCAATTAACTATTTAATTGTATTAATCAAGCCACGTAACTATAATTATGCCAATTACTGTTAATTACTGTGTCATAATTTCAGTCAACTGTTAACGACTAGTGACTTGATTAAAAAAAATTAAATAGTTATGTGGTGTGTGTAACAAAATTGAAAGATCAATGGCAAAAGTAAAAGGGCTAAATAGTTAATTGGTCAACTGAGTAGTTTACCCTAAAAATAATGTTATTAGTTATAATTAAATAATTACTTTTATTACTAAAAATTTAAAATTTAAAAAAATATTAAATAACCAAAAGAATTACTTCATTACTTAACATCTAATAAAATTTAGGGTAAAATACAAAAAAGATCCTCCAACTATAAGATATTGTTTTGTTGAGTCTCTCAATTATCAAAAGTTACAAAATGATCATTCAACTATTGGATGTTACTTTGTTGAGTCCCTCGACTATTAAAAGTTATAAAATGGTCACTTGACTATTCATTATATTCCAAACTCGTCTTTTTCATTAAAAATTGACGGTAGTTTGAGTTGGATGTTTATTTGTTGTCTTAGATATTATAATCGATTGAGATTCTGGGATTGGATTTGACCTAATCTCAAACAACAAATTAATATCCAACTCAGACTGTCATCGAATTTTTAACGGAAAAAGACAAATTTGGAATATAATGAATAGTCGGGTGACCATTTTGTAACTTTTAATAGTCGAGAGACTCAACAAAGCAACATCCTATAGTCGAAAGACTCAACAAAACAACATCTTATAATCAAAGAATCATTTTGGAGTCGAGTGACTCAACAAAGCAAAACCCTACAATCGGGAATCATTTGTGTACTTTACCCTAAATTTTATCTAATTGAAAATTTTAAAAAACCTGGCCTTTTGGTTGTTCCAATTTATTTGTTTTTTACGTAGTTATATTTAATTATAATTTAATCAGTTTACACTTACAGTTGTCAGACTTTGAGGTATGATTTTTGGAACATTTGACGTTTCTTCAATGTCGGGTCTTTTGTTTTCTTTTTCCTAAAATTTTTCCATATTTATCAGGCAAGCAATACTTATATAACGGATTAGGTTAATAGTAACAAAGCCAAATTTACTGCTTGATTAAATTTTGATACTTTATTCCTAAATTAGTATTTTAAGAAAGTCGAACTTTTTAAAACACAAACTTTAGGGGCTATCCAGTACTATGTACTTCAAGCCATGAAATAAAATTTCATAAAATAAAGGGGAAAATATTGAATTATATTCAAATGACTTTTTTAATCATTTATTTTTTAAAAGTAATAAATAAATAAATTATAAAATAATTAAATTGGTGTTATAAAATGGCCAACAGAAATATTAAATTGTTACAAAACAATAATTAAATTTATCAAACTTTATTATTGTTATGGTAATAATTTAATAATAATTTAATAATTTTTAGAAGTTGAATGATTAAAAGTCAATTTAATTTTGTTCTCTAACTTTTGATGCACTTTACAAAAATAAATAACTGTGAATACCGTTTACTTTGACGGACAAAATCTACCCCCAAAATCTTGATTTCAAGCAATCCTCAAATGAGTGCAATAGTTCTAGTAATGCATTTTATAGAGAGAAAAGGCGGGTTTGATTTCATTTTTTTGAAGACAATTAAAGCCGGTTGTGGGTTCATAGAAAGAAGGCATGGTAAAACCTTTGTTTCCCATTGTTTCCCTCCCTTTTATGGTTTCCATTGATTTTCATATCAACAAAAATATCACATTTGGGTAAGTTTTCTTTTTAGATAAAGGAATAAAGAATAACAAATAACAAACGGGTCCAATCATATGAATTTCGAGCAATGCTGTGGCAGGCCTGTTATATGGTCAACTGTCACAATCTCTGTAGCATTGTTGCACCGCAATACATCTTGACCCAACTTGGCACCAGCTGCCTTGAGCCCTTTGAGTGACACGGGTTGGTTGAAAAGGTTAAGTGATGGCAGCTTGGAGGCCGGAGGTAACTTCCTATTAGGCAACAGGGTCCTGAAATCTTCCACCAGCAACGGGACTTCGAAATCGGCTTTATCATGCCGAACAATGTTGTCCTTTGCACTGATATGAGCTCCTGGTTCCATATGGTTGGTCGAAAAGCTCGCTTGGTTCGGAAAGTTGGGATAGAGGCTGACGTATCCTCTAAGGTACATCATGTCAATGAGGAACTTCTTCCATGAAGCTTGCCATCCATTTGTCCTCGACTTTGGGATTTGAACCGGATTCGCTTTGGCGTCTTCAGTGAATCTCATGTTCATATACACATAGAATTCTCTCCAATGCTTGGGGAAGAATACTGCACCCCAACTACAAGGTAGCTGGTGAAGGTAAGGTGTATTAGGGTGAATCTGCTTGAAGAACTCGGTTGCGTTCCATCTCGGCCTCTCTTTCACAACTTCGACTAATCGAGGAGTATAGAGAGAGATAGATGAGAGCTCAGGAAAGGATACTTGAGGATCATAGTGGTAGGCTAAGAGAGCATATTTAATCCATAGATAGTAGTAAGGAGAGACTTCGATATCGTCCTCAAGTAGTAGACCGTAATCGTCATCCGATGTTGGATACCAACTCTCGCTAACTGCTCGAATAAGCCCTCCTTGAATGATCCTCCTTCTGAGGGTTTTAGGGCCATGAGGCCATTGAAATGAATCTACAAGTTTAATAGTTGCCTCATCCACTTTACTGTCTATATTGAAGCTGATAGGTATCTCATCTCCAATGTAATATGCATCACTCAGAGATTTAAGAAGCCTCATTAAGGAAGGTGCGCGGTTTTGAGTAATTATATTAATCGAGATCCGCATCCGGTTCCAATCTGCAACACAAAATGATATTTAAACGATCGCTCTTCATAAAAAAAGATGAAATAGTTCTTATTATCAAGAATCTTCTAAGAACATATTGGGCATTCTTACTTTGCAAAGCTGTTGATCTTAGATCAGCCATCCATAGAACCTTTGAGACAGAAGGCCTTGGTAAAAGTACGAGTGCAGTACCATTTGTATTCGTATCGGATGCCATCTTCAAAGCCTTTTGCACATTGGGATCAATGTCTGTCACTGCGATAATCACACTGGGGTTATGAATTTTGATCAATCCTTTCAAACTAGAGTATACTGCTTGCAGGACTGGGACCTCTGAGTTTGATGTTCCCGAAAGTGCTCCTATTCGCAAATCGAAAATCTTAAATCTTCTCTCTTTGCAGACCGACTTTGGCCAGTTTAGAGCTACTGCAGCATCTTCACAAGGGCAGAAATTGCCTCCGGAAACTACAATATAAGCCTTCTTTCCGACAGAAGATCTGAACTTCTCGAGCAGCGGTGCAAGTGCCTTGACCTCTTCAACACTGTGAGCATAAAAGAGAGCATCGATCTTCTGAGGGTACATTGCAGCCCACTGAGTCACATAACCATTAGTTAGTGCCCTCCACCATTGTTCATCTCTAACTTGAACTATGTCATTGAAGATCACGGTGGTTTCCGAGACATAAGCAAGCCTGTGTTCACTATCACCCCATGTTTCTTTGTCGGTCGGGTCAATCGGAAGAACAAATGAGCCTGCATTTCTATATTTCTGAAGCTGATAGCTGCACAAGTTTAGAACATAAAAGGTCATCCAATGCTTATAACAGTATTTTACATATGATCAAAAAGCATATACTTCAAAGTATAAATCCACAGAAATCAATAATGCAGGAATTATCAGCAGTGGAAACAGGATATAGAGTATCCACCCTTAATCGAAACTAAAGTATAAAATATCCATCATTTTCCTCAAAAGAGATTAAAATATTCTGAAAAGGTTGACCATTTTAGTAGTAATAAATTGTAGCATGAGTTGAGAAGATTATTTCCTAGAATTAAGTAGAAAATTAGTTCTTTAAATGCTTGGTGAGTCAACTTTCAACAATCAACATTGAGCCCTGTTATTCTAACACAATTCATCAAATAATTGGAGATCCCTTGGGTATAATCAGTTTCCTAAAGATATAATTAAATCATGCTTAGCAATGAAAAATTAGTCTTTATCACCACTAAATGAAATATATTGTTTATTTATTATTCAACAGGTGACCAAACCATGAAAATATATTCTATTTTTGTTACCAAACCGAAGCAAATCAGTGATAGAAAACAATATCTTTTGGACTATCGCTACAACTTTTTTTTTCATTTTTCATTTTCTTTTTGATAATTATCAGTCATGGTAAACGTACCTAAGATGAAGATCTTCACCGGTCATGAATGTGAAGGGTGTCTCAATGAAAAGTGTCTTGACAAGCTCAGCAGGTACAAACCATGAACTAGAAAGGAAATCCACCTGCACGATTTTTTGGACTGTAATATCATAGGCAGGATCAGGCAAGTAAAGCCCCGCCTCCTTCGATCGGAACTTCCTATAGCTCGGGAATGTAAAGTCCTTCTGTCTGAAAGGCAAGATCCTTCCGATGCTGCCCAAAACAGAGTTCTTATACTTTTCAGTTCCTGCTACATGAGATAAAATCTGTAACATCTTCTTTCCCGGAATCATGTCGTCGTCAACAATATACACAAGATCAGCTTCTGTTTGTAAAGTCATTTGAAACCTGCCATAGTACTTGAAATCATAGCTTGAGCTAATGAAGATGATCCTCGAATCGTTGTAGCTTTCTACGATTCTCTTTAGAGAGTGCTCATTTGGACTCCCGAATGAAAGCACCCAAACTTGATGGAACGGAAGCGACTGTTGAAGCAAAGAATCAAGCTGGGAACAAAGTGTTTTCCTCTTGAAGTGGTTCAAGAGAACTGTTACTTTCGGCCGGTTTGGACCGCGCATATCCCACCGGGATTTCATTGCCATTAGCTCAGCTACAGTTTCTGTACCAATGGTTTTGCTTTGGAAATCCAGTATCTCATCATACAACTCTCTCTTCAACTTGATCATTTGAACATCATTCGAATTCTTCTGCACGAAATCGATTTTCTCATGCTCGCAAACTTGTGATGGTGTGATCGGAGGGAAGGTTTCAGCTGTGATGAAAGAAGCAGCCTCTTGGAAGCGACCATGAACATGCGGCGGGATGATCAACTGTTTCATGTTTCTCGCGATTCTTGTCGCCCAAGTAAACTCAGGTTTGGTTGCTAAATCTATCGATGGACTCATGTAATACAAAAGAATCGTTGCATAAACTGCAAAGGCGAGTTGAAGGCAAGTGAGAGTTGTCACAAGCCAAGTACATCCATTTTTAATAGCCTTAACCTTAGGCTTTCCTCCAACATAATCACCAAGCATTCCTTCCAAGAAATCCCCACTTCTGCTATTTGGATTCCGGGAAAATCTCATTTCACAAATTCAAATATCAAGAAAATTGTACCTACAAAAACCAGAAAAAAAGAAAAGGAAATATATATTAGTCAAACCAAAGTTCAAACATTAACTTAGCATTAAGCTTGACACTCACCAAAACAAAGTCGATATCGACGTATATCAATAATCTGTCGATGCCAGTGTCGTAAACACAAATGCTGTGAAGAATTTAAGTTTGCAGATATGAAAAATGGAAGAGAGAAAGCGAGGGTGTTAAAGAAGGTGGTCGAGGTAGAGTAATGGATCATGTGCCTATTGTATATATATATATAACTATATACATGAACGGAAAGTTATATAAACTGAAAAAGGTAAAGGTGAAGTACCCCGTGAGAAATGCAGCAAAGGTCACATGGGGCTAAACGTTTAGATTAATAAAGTTGATTAGTAATATATTGTTGAATGTAAAGCGTCACTTTCACTGCATCTCTTTGTCACATAGTCGTACTTAAGCCAAGCCAGTTTTAATGGCGTAGAAAGGGGCTACCCCTGCGTTTTTGGCACACCCCACACGCTCTCATATGCTTTTCATTAATTTTAACTCTAAAACTTAAGATAGCCCAAAGAGATTAAAGTGAAAGTACAAAAAGAGGGGGGAATTAAACTTGTCAAAAAACTCAATTCCTTAATTAGATAAAGATTTACTAGTCGGACTAAACCTCATACAAGAATCATATAATATTAATATTAATAAAAATAAATTATATTGTATGGTTATAATATCAATCAAATTTAATTTAAATAACGTATGATATTCATATTTGATATATGAAAAATAAAAGATAGAGCATAAAAGTCTCTAGTCTTTATTTTTACCTTGCTCATAAGGAAACCGAACCCGACTATGTATCCTTTTCTTCCTCAGCAAATAAAGCAAGAGAATCTTTAAAAAGAAAACTTGGATTGAACAAAAAACTGTTGTCAATGGCTAGAAAGATGCCGACGCCGACAAGGGAGGTATATTAGTCTCGGGGAAATGGAAGATTGAGTATATAACAGAAATGTGTAATAAATGAAATAAAACTTAGTGTATATATATAGAGAGAGAGACAGAGAGACGGAGGGGTTGACTTTACATGTAAATACGTCCTAAATGATGATTGCAGCAAGCTCGCTACCTCATTGATAATGGCGTTTTGCCAAACTTCTGATCAATATGCAAGAAAAGCCTTGACTGGTTTTGCTTTAAGAATGGAGAAGATATATTCAAAAATGTTTGGTCGATCGCTTAACAAAACCAAGAGAAATCTAAATGCTTGATTTTCTCATCTCGTTATCATTTTCAACTTAACAGAATATGGTGCTTTAGGGTTACTTTTAACAGTTTAAATACTGCAAATAAAACAAATGATTACCAGTATCAAACTTAAAGGTATGGGTAGAATTTACTTTCTATTCTTAAAGGTATAGGTAGAGTTAAAGAAATCTCTTTTCTATAATGATTAATATTATCGAATTTTTCGAACTTAGTACAGAATCTTAATTAAAATTCCAAAGAACTTGAATTTTTATAAGAAGATGGAACTTGGATCTCACACACACGTGCAAATGCGAAGAACAATCATTATAATTACTGGGGGAAACCCCATTAAACTGGTAGCAAACTGTTAATCATTCTATCTTAATTCCCCCCTCCCCAAAACTGTATATCCTCCAGCACTTGGTCGAATCGCTAATAAAAAGCCCAAAGAAACTTAAGCCAGCCTTTCTCAGCAACCCTTTTTTGCAAGATCAATTCCACTAAGACGATTTTGACTGATCCGTCATCAAATGGTCGTCTTTGATGGGCAGGGAAAACAACAACAGCACGTAAACCAAGTGGAAACCGCATAAGCAGAGATTTAAGCAAATGTATGGGTGATATAGTTTTATATCACCTAACAAAAGTAGAATAATCTCTTTGAAATCAAATTCGATCTCCATCATCTGCAGCTCATCTTCATTATTTTATTCCAGAAAAATAAGTATGGAAATTGTGGGTAGTCAAGTCAAAGTTGAATATTGTGTCCTGTGTGTGAATTTATTATTCAAATATATATACCATTTTTCAAGTTATGAATGTAGAAATTTTAATTTATGGTTATAGTAATTTTTAAAAATTATTAATGAAAATAGTATTCTTTTAGTGTAATGTAGGATGAAGACACGTCTTGTAAAAAATTGAAATATTTATGGAGACTCCTAATAATGATTTTGTATTCGAATCTACTTTATTAAATATTAGGGTTAATTACGCGGATGATCACTTATGTTTGTTATCACTTTTGGTCGCAATTGAAAAATACATAAGATATGATCACTTTCGTTCTCATTTAATTTAGATGTGGTCACCATGAGCTAACTGTAGTTAAATATTTTGGTATAATTACACATTTGGTCCCTTTTATTTACATATTATCTCAACATAGTCATACTTTTAATAAATTTAATCCTTCAATCGAATGATGCCACCGTCATTGGTACCATGTGTCGTGTCGTGTCGTGTCATGTGTCAGCATTCAGTTGGAAGGCTAACATTATTTTAATTTAACAAGGCAAAACAAATTGTTGGAAAATAAATATATTAAAATAAAATAAAGTTAGTCCTCCAACTGAATGGTGACATGTGGCACGACACATGACACCAGTGACATATGCCATCATTCGATTGGAGGATTAAGTTTATTTTAATTTATTAAAAGTATGATTAAATTGAAAGAATATGTAAATAATAGGGACCAAATGTGTGACTATACCAAAATATTGCATCACTTAATATGTTAGTTGTTAACGACAGTTAACTCGTGGTGACCACAACTTAAATAAATAAAAACAAAAGCGAACATATGTTAATTAAATAAAAATGAAGATGACCACAACTTAATGTTTATTGTACTTCGTTGATTTTTTGTGTCTGTTACGATTATAATTTTTTTAGCGTATGATAAATTTTTCGTAAATATTATGTATTTATGTGTTCATTCTTTTTATCTTTTAATTTTAACTGTTAACTATTTTAGTTCTACATTTTCATCAAATACTTACTTTAGTTTATTATAACAGACAACAAATTAAATGGATATATAATTATCTTATATATGTTGTGTTTGACTTTGCTATAAATATTATGTATCTATGTGTAATTTTTTTTACCAATTTTACTATTCTTCATTGTTAAACACTAAATTATTATTACTCGGCTTTATGTTTCAATGTCATAAAATGCTTCTTTAAAAAAATGAAAATTTATTTATTTTAATAATGACAACTGAATTTTATTAATAATAGAATAAATCAAAATCATATTGCATCAAAATATATAAAGAAATTTGTAGACAATAGTCACCGAAATACTCATACAAAAGTAAAAATTAAAACTAAAGATACGAAAAAAATTAAAACTTTATAATGAGAATGACGACCAACGTCAATACCCAATAACATTCATAAAAATTCATTGTCTCTGTCGATGAGACGCTTGAAGAAGTGATAAAGAAGTGGTGAGCGAACCAAATAATCTGATAGGCCTATTTGTTACACAATCTGATTATATCGGCCAACAACCTTTTATCAAAAGAGGGGATTTAACTATACGTGACCACCTACTAACCAATTATAAAATAAATGTCGTGATGGTTTTTATGCAAGAACCAAAATGACCGCAAAGGTATGCAAAAAACATACAAACAATCATGAGAATCGTGCCACAAAAACAGAGAAAACGCGTGCCACAAAAGTAGAGAAAAAATCATGTCATAAGGACAGAAGATCTTATTCAAAATTAAAAAGACTCAAGCAAAAAGATAAACAACATAATATAAAAAAAAACTAATACTCACTAGCGGTCGGCAACCAACAATAAGATTGGTACCGCCGCCAACTAAACAAAAATCAAAGACAAAAAAAAAAGACAAATATTGGGGGAAAACTAGATTGAAAAAAAAGACGACTAGAAAATGTGAAAATTCTTTAACAATCATTCAAAATCATAATACTACTTAACCATAAAACTATAAGCTAATGACCTATATTAAAAATTGAAAATGATAAAATATAAGGAAAAACGTATTTTGTAAAAACGTGTCTCACCCTTCATGATCAATCATATCATATAAATGCATCACGAAAAACATATTTTCTAAACCGTATGATTTTATCCTACACAACATAGAAAAATATTATTTTTATAAATAACCATGAGGGGTACTATAATTATAAATATAAATATTAATATATTTTAATATCAAAGAGGCTATGTGCTTACCTAAATTTTTAGTGGAATAGTGCCTAAATACTGACCGGTCACGTAGGAAGAGGATTCATATCAGTTATGGGTTACATATGCATGCTGATCATGAATAGGATAAGGTGATTGGTGATCATGTTTGATTTTTGTATTAACAATAATTAATCATGTTTTAATATTTTTAAAATATAGTAGTAATAGTAATTATAATAAGTAAATATTTTGTTTGACTACTTGTTAAGAAATATTTTTGCCTTTTTGGAAATTGACCTATAAAAAATCCCATGCCTTCAATCATGAAGAAGCAATTTATACAACACAGCCATGGGACAAATTTCTTTCCATTTCGACAACTATGCCAAAAAGAGAAGTTTGAGCATTGCATACATCAATATTCAACTTGAAAACGATAAACATGTTAATCGAGTATACATGGTTTTATCAGAAAATAATTAAATACATTAACAATCCCTATCTCTCTCTCTCTATATATATATATATATTTCAGGAAAAATTTTGGTTTCCTAAAATTAGTTGTCCTGAAATATGTCATTTGTAAGAAGAAACGTCTCGCCTTATCTTGAGATTTCACATTTTGTTGGATAATTTAACTGTTCCATCTCCCAATTTAGTCTCTCGTGCTTGGGTTCATACTCCTGGATATTAAAACAAACAGCATGTTAGTTTCTGCAAAAGGAACGGAAAATCTTACAGGGGAAAAACGAAAAGTGAGGAACCTCCATGTTTTGGACCAGCTCTTTTGCAGTGGGAGCGGAGACTATGATATGGCGAGCATTAGGACTGATGAAACCTTCTTCCACTGCTTTGTCGATAAATGACAACAATGAATTGTAGTACCCATCCACGTTCAACAATCCCACCTTCAATCCCAGCAAATAGTTTTGGTTTAGTTAATATGTTTCTAAATAGTCAAACGAATCTTTTTCCAAAAAGGAAATTACCGGTTTGTCGTGGATCCCAAGTTGAGCCCAAGTTATGACTTCAAGAAGTTCTTCAAGAGTTCCATAGCCACCTTCACAAGATACAACTCATTGGTGTAAAATTAATGGGCTCTAGAATTTTTGACCCATAGCGAAAAGAGCTAAAGTTGTAATTTGAATTAGCAAAAAGGGCTTTTTTGATCGAGGGGCACAAGCACGGCCTTTAAAAGTATGGGAGTGACCCATATGTGGTCCAGGAAAAGGACCGCCGAGGGCAACGCAAAGCTATCAAACAAAGATTGATTAACGGTATGGTACACAAATTCTGCAAAAAGCCTATCATTATGTAATCTGTCAAAGGATAGAGCCAGGAAGGACCATTTTTTGATAAAGATAGAACAAGAGTTTTCACAATTATTCTTCGAATACTTTTTAGTTGATAATTTGGAATTCCACGTCACATGACATGTCATGAATATACGATACGAAAAATAATTAAAACGCGAACCGGGTAAGGCGATGAAGGCATCGGATTGTCTAGCCATCTCTGCTTTTCTTTGGTGCATGTCTGCTACTGCCTTTACTTCCCCCACTGTTTCTCCAGTGATCTACAAATGTTTAATAGCCACCAAAACCAAAGTGTTAGTGATGAGAGAGTAGCACAAGTGGTGGGCTCAAAATCCCAAATTAGCATACTATTTACTCTGCAAGTCAACACCCAATTTCACAGCAAAAGAAAAAAGAAATGTGAAGAAAATACGTGCACCACATAAACTTGATTCTATACTAAGAATGAGAATCTTGGTGTTGGCCAAATAAACACCATTGGAGAGGGGACAAGCAAAATGATGAAGACCCATTTACACACTCAGGTGGAATGGAATTCATTGACCAAAAAAAATGGCGGGGAACAGATAATTTCAGGACCAACCAAAAAGTCTAAAATGGAACCTGCATAATCTGCATGTGTGTGACAAAAGGGACAAAGTGTGAAAACCCATGTTTAAAAGATAACAAAAGTGGGGTAGAAATTGATGTAAAGGGAGCTACCACTAGAAA